CTTTACATTTTTCGTTTACAATCATAATAATATACGTATATAGCCAATAACAAAGTTTGTCATATTACATTTTAATTATAGCGTTACTTTATCTAGCGTTAATCTATAGCCTAATCGAAAAACAAACATGTTGAAAATTTACATTAAGTTCTTAAATTAATGGTAATCTACATATTATTAAATTATTACATACAAATATAACATTATTATTATATAAATTATAAAGGTGTAAGTGTAAGTATGTTTTAGTGTTGTGTGTGTTTGTGTGTGTGTGTGTGTGTGTCTGTGCTCTGTTTGTTTGATAATTATTGTCTTCTAAACTGGGGGTGATCCTTCAATATGTTTAGAAATTGAGTGCGGTTTAAATGGAAGATGTCCACGTCTCTAAATCTATCCTCATAAGTGCGCACTATTCTTTGCAAAACAGAGCGTTTTGCGTAATTCGAACGGGCTAAGGTCGTACACAAGGAGTGCATATGCCTCGTGCGTTTTGGACAGGCACACAGACCAATGCAAGCCGTTAATTCAGGACAATCCAATACGGAGTTAACCACGTCATATAGAAACTTCATGTCAGACAACAGACGTCTAACTTCGAGAGAATCTAGCTGATAGAAGTTAAGTCTGTCGAAGTAACCATCTTCCCTTTTGAGGCGGTAGTGCAATCTACGTGTGAAACAACGCTGCACGGACTCTAACTGGGCTATATGAGTCACATAAGACGGAGACCATATAGGGGCTGCGTACTCCATCACGCTCCTGACATAAGCAAAATACAGCTTTTTTAAAGATTCAATTCTTCGAAAAGATTTAGCACTTCTATGAAGAAATCCTAGCATTCTGTAAGATTTCTGAGCAATGAAGTCGAAATGCGATGTATACAAAAGCTTATAATCTAGTATTACACCCAGATCGCGGACGAATTCGACTCTAGGAATACAGGTATCATTGAGATGGTATTTGTGAGACAGAAAAATACGCTTCCGGGTGAACGTGATAACTTGGCATTTTTTGACATTCAGATCAAGACGATTCAGTCTACAATAGTCCGTTAATCTGTCGAGGTCCGCCTGAAGCCTTTCGCAATCAGCTGCACAACCAATTGGCATAAAGATTTTATTGTCGTCGGCATACATTAAAACATTTGAATACTTAAAACATGTCTCAATGTCGTACAAGTATATGTTGAAAAGTAAAGGACCTAAATGAGACCCCTGCGGTACGCCCGATGGGACGGATTCCATATTCGATTTGAAAGCGCCAATCCTAACAGCCTGCGATCGATTCCGTATATAAGACTCAAGCCACCTCAGCAAATCCCCGTGCACACCGATATTATTTAGTTTAGATATTAAAATGTCATGATCGATGCGATCAAAACATTTTGAATAGTCGGTGTACACAGTGTCGACCTGGCCACCTCTGTCCATGTGCTGAGTAATTCAATGTAATTCAATGTAAAAGGTATGTAAACACGGCAAATATTTCGACAATTATTTAATACATATTTAAACAAGCAACAAACCTAATGTTTGTATAATATAGTAGGTGAATAAATATTCCTACACTTCAACTATATATTGTTAAGATATTTATTTTCTTCCATAATTATAACGATGATTATCGGACATGCATTCGATAATTATCCATGTTATTCATGGTTTGGGAAAACGATCTTATAGTTTGTAACTTTCTTTTTTAATTTGGCATTTGATACGTATGGATACAAATACAAACAAACATTGCGCATTGCTAGCGGCAGGTTCTTGATAACAGAATTCATTTTATAAACATCAAGGTATGTATCCGCTCACGCGATGGGCTCCTCCTACCGCAAAATGGCGGCTATTTGGTTTCGCAAATTAGAAAAGTTTCAGTACAAGTTTTTATTAATAAAAATTATTATTCTGCATTGCTAATAAATACCCTCCGTACTACCAACAAAATAATATATAAATATAAAAAATATCTCAAATAAAATGTAGTAATACACCGCAAATCCTGCACTTAAAAAGCACTAATGAAATTTTTGGTGTACTTGGATAAATATGATAATATTCCGTTTGAGTGCTTCTAATGTTTACCATGAAATTACTCCTTAAAGTATAGTTTATAAAGATTTATATCCAGGGTAAACTTAAAAAACGCTACTTACGGTATGTTTTCAATAAATAAACACCGAAATCACCAGCCCAAACACACACGATTGTCGTGACGTATTTTTGAAGTTGTTTATTTTTTTTAAATGACAGACCCAGGCATTTAAAACTTTATGGTTTGCTAGAGTAGTTACCGAAATAGCAATTAATATTAGTTCTTTTACCTATTATAACTTCGATATCCGATAAATCGGTATAAAATCATCACCGGCACCTCTAGGTGGGTATGCGTCTACGGCTGCATGTATCGCGTGAGCGGATAAAGTCGGGTAAAAAGTCGTTGAAAAACCAAATATAAAGATAAGACAACAAATCACATAGAAAAATTCGCGAGGTCCGCTGGTTCGTTCCATGACTTAGTTAGCATAGCGTCTGGCACGGTTTGCTGGAAGACGTCGGATCGATCGATCGAGTTTCTAAGTGCTCGATCTTTGTATTAATAATTATAACATCAAGGTGTAATTTAGCACTGTGAACCCTGCTACAAACACAAGTGTACAACGATTTGAACTATCAAAACATCAAACATAACACACCTCACGTAATGGTTTAATAACACCTCATGACATAACTTACGACATTTCAAGTTCAACGCAACCAACAGGTTAACAATACCCAATCAAATACCTTTCCTATCAAGTAAAGTCATCTCTTTCAGTAGTAATGAGTCTATTGTTAGATAAACAAGGTGATAGGCTGAAGGTAGTGCCTTCAGAATTTGGGTTGCAACTGACAAAAGCAAGGTAATCTAAGTTATGTTGTCTTGAATGGGCATTGATGAGATTCGTCTAACTACGTCAATTTAATAAATGTTATTTAATTACGAAATTAAACCAATAACTGTTGGAAGTAGACAATATTTTACTTGACTTTCAATTGAAATATGAAATCTAGGTGAATAAGCTTTCTTTGTTATGTCATCAACAAGTGACATAATCGGCCAAACAAAAGAAGAAACAGTAGATTTGTGACACCGTCTATAAGTCCGCCAGTTCTTCAAACGGCATCAAAAGAGGTCATAGTCATGATTGTAAAATATTATCAAAGAAAAATAACTAGATATACACGTTACGGGCAATTTGATTAAGCAGGCATTATTAACACGGACTGGTTATTATGAATAATGAAAAAGAGAGTCGGCTAAGTTGATAAATTTATTACTCTGACCGGACCGGTATAATAATTTCCGATTGAACGTCGTTCATTCTATAAACCTTAGAATAATAACGCATAGAATGATAGTTTCATATCAAACGAACTGTCACAAGTGAGGCAAAAATCAAATTCATGTAGGCTAGTTTCAGTAGTAGGTTAATTTTCGGTTTTAGTGAATATTTATATAAAAATACAAGTTGGAACGCGTTACTTCCTTGTGGAATGTGATGTTAGTATCTATTTTATGTTTGTCTGACGTATTTTTACACTCATTTACCGCACATTTCGTCGTTTTTAGCTAAAATTCTGGAGCTGTTCGCCGTGCAAGTTGACCTTGAGCACTGAAGGCCCGCCCGCTCGTGTAGGCCCTTTTGGCGCGCTTCAATTTGCCTCACTTAGCGTGTGCGGACTAGGTTTCTATGCGTTATTATTCTAAGCTATGAACTATGTCTGAAGATGACGTAAATTTAGATGTGAGGTGTGATACGTGTTACGTGTGACGTGTGATACGTGTATTATTAGTACAGACCGGCCATTATTCATAGTGACAATGAAATACAAACATGTCATTATGCCTGTCTCCCACTTAGGTATGCGGAGACCATGAACCTCCACTTCCTACGCTCCTGACAAACCTATTTCTCCTCCTTCACTCGCATCAGTCTCTTCATTAGTCATCATATATGTCCGTTCATTCTTCGTACTTTTAATCTGACCCTCTTTAAGGGCTATTATTGAAGTGTGCTGTCACTTGTTCAAAAAACCGTGAGGATGACAAAAGTCTTTCTCTACTCCTGAACCTTAATCAGGCAATTAAAATTTCATAAACCATATCATAAAGGTGCTCTTTTTAGTTCTGTATTAAAGTTCTATTGTCTATAGTACTTGCCACTGAGCTGAAAAATTTTATTAATGTTCTGCACACAAAACTATAATACACATAATAACACAGAACGATAATGAGTTTCAAAAAAAAGAACGTTGTATTTTTGCTAATTTAATTATGAATTAGGACGCTACACAAACGCTATACTGCCTTCTGACTGGTTAAATAGGCCTAAAAGTCTTGCAACCGGATCATAAATCTAATAAAAAAAAATTAGTTAACTCTTTGGTTTTTTATGGTGAAACCTTTGCCTACCCTAATAAATGGATTAAAAATTACTGAAATAAAATTGCGTTTGTCGTCGTGGATTCAATATATAAATAAATCTGTTTCATTATTTTATTTACTCGTAGAAAAAATATTGTACGCAATCATTATATAATTAGGTCTTAAAATCTCGTACCTATTACTTAGGCCACTCAGCAACAATTGGCCTAAACACTGTAATCGACCTTAAGAACCTTCATTATAATACTATTTTTCATATAAATCATTGACTTACAATTATATGGACGGGTCCGCGCTAAAAACTGTCCGAACTTATAGGGCGTTAAAATCGTATACAGAGCGTCATTCACGCTTTAGTCTTCGTTTGTTCGATTGACAGCGAAGCAAGCAAAATTAGACAGTACTGCGATGACATTACAATTTAAATTCAACGTTTTAGCTTTTTCATATTCCTTTACATGTCACTACGTTTAAATAGGTTGACTTGGGACATTTTTTTCGTGGTTTTTGTACTAGATCCGTCGTCCATTTATTTGTAAGTCAATGATATAAATACTATTTTTATATCTTACCTATAAGCAAATTGGCGCTGTAGTCACGTTCGGACATGGAGCAGTTGACCATGTACCAGTGGTCACAAATCAGCATACGCTGCTGGAACAGCGTCGTGTTGGGACAGGTGTAGCTAAACTGACGACCCAGCCCGTCGCACATGTGGTACACCTGGAACACGTAGAAGGCGGTTACTTCATGGTTATTTTTTCCATCTAACCACACGGAATTCCTGTCACTTTAACTGATTTATTCAAAATGTTATGGTATTAAAAAGCAATGGTAGCTTATTGGTTTGACCTACCGCTCTGAGATCGTGGATTCGAGTCCGGGCTCGCACCTGTTGAGTTTCTCGGAATTACGTGCGAAATTCAATTTGAAATTTACAATGAGCTTTTCGGTCAAGTAAATCATCGTGTGAAAACCTGTACGTCGAAGCAGGTCCACAACCCCCGTAAAACGTGTGAAATCCCCAACCCGCATTGGGCCTGCGTGACGGACCATGGCCTAAACCCTCGTCTGAAAGGAGACTCGTACCCAGCAGTGAGAGGTGTAAATGGGTTAACTTTTTTAATGAGGCAAAGTGTTCTCGGACACCTATCCAATACGCATATAGCATAAACACAGTTCCAATGCAAAAGGTTTCCAAGGTACGCGATCTAGGGGTCCTACTTACAGCCCAACTGACGTTTCGAGACCATATAGTCAATGTTTGTAAAAAGGCCTACAGGAACCTTGGCTTCGTATCGAGGCAGACTCGGTGCTTCAATAAAATTAGTCTCATAGAAGCATTATATGATGCCCTTGTAAGGAGCCTCCTGGAACGCAATGCAATTATCTGGTCGCCTCATTAAGCAAAGTACGAAATTATGTTAGAGAGCATTAAAAATAAATTTACACGACATTTATATGCAAGAATAATGTATCCAACACTCATGTATCCAAGTTGTTTGTACTCGGCATGGTAGGTTATAATAAATAATAAATAAATATAAATAAAAAAAAAGAAACCCTGTGTCGCGGGTGCCATGGACACACACATAGACAACCTCAAATTACACCCAAACTCACGAGAGAAATAATTGTAGGCCATACAAGTATTTCTCCCGGCACGGGAATCGAACCTGGGACCTCTGCGTGGCAGTCCGGCATGGTAACCGTTCGGCCACGGAGGCAGTTAAATAATAGACTAGGAGTACGTCGAAACTTCGCGTTAGCTCAAATTATTTTTACACTACTTAGAGGGTAAATTTGTTTATATAATAAAATTTGGATAAAACTGGAAAGGGTGTCTTTCTGCGTGCCGAATGATTACGTAAGGAGGCGACGAAAACCGCGGTTGTAGGCAGTGCCACGCGGCCGGACTAATCTGAGCCAGAAAGCCCCGCTCACACGCGCTTTGCAAATCATTTGCATACATGACAGGAAAAAAAAAATCATAAATGATGTTGCAGACAGAATGGACTTATTTTTATGTACTCTGTGTGAATTCAGAAGGATAACACGTCTTTTTCTTATTTTTCTATTATATTTTTTTTATTATGGATTTAATATAAGAGTCTACATATGCATTTGTACACTATCGCATTGGTTATAAGTTATAATCACCTCTACCATTATAGTTATAACTTATAACTATAACGGTAGATGTAGACTACCATACATACTACCATACATCTACCATTATAGTTATAACTTATAACTATAATGGTAGATGTAAAGTTTTAAATAATAAATTAAAAAAAAAAGAATAACTTATTTATTCTATGGCTCTTGACAATATATAGGAATGTGACTGCCTATCCAAACCTGGATCGGCTGAACAGCTGCATAGGAAGCATCGGCGGATAGCAGTTTATTGCAAAAGACTTTACACTTGAAGCCCGAGCCGCTTGCGAAGATTTGGTCGTAACAGTTTTGCAATGTCTTTGTAGTTCGTTCGTAACACACGACGTTTTTCAATATATGTTTGATCAGTCAGTGTTTTGTGTTGATCACAAGTTACAATTTAATCAATATCAATATTGAGTCCCATAAATCTAGCTCACTAATATCCATCACATCAATGTGTATTCAAAGAAACAACTCTTTCGTAGCAAATTTTATGAAAATATCGGATTCTGGAAATCACGCATGCGTAAAGTTTTCGTCGTAATTGAAACAAAATTAAAACGCGGAAACTGGAACATGTTATGTTAAAACAACTAAAAACAATTTCATAATTGGTGTCAATTTAGCAAAAACATACATATCTTACTTTTTTTATTAATTTAATTTTGTACAACATTAAAGAGTTCATGATTTATTCCAAGCATAAAGAAACACTTTTTTTTCAATTGGGCATTAGAAATAAAAAAAAACAAAGATAGTTTTCTGCACTGAAGGGTAGAACTACCACTTACCGCAAGCTTCACCGTTGAAGTATTAAGGTATTTTAGAGATTTTCGAGCAAATATATTTAAAAAGATACATAATTATATTAAGAGCAGTTTGAAACTAAGGTAAGGGAAACACCGGGGGAAGAGGGTCTTGAAGTCAGGAGTCATAAATCTGAAGAGTTTCGCACTACAGTCTCTCAATTGATAAAACAGACAAACAATTTAGTTCAAAACTATTTTAACGAGATGTCGCTACTATGCTCCAAATCCAAAAGGCGGAAAAAACTAATTCAACAGTTGTGAAATATTGACAACACGTTGTATACATGACCTTTTTAAGAAATATTGTCAATAAAACCTTTATTAAAAATAGTAACTTAATTAGATACAAATAAATAATAAAGCAACAATCTTCACATGTTGCGATAGAACAAACGAATTGTGTTTACAAACAATTCACCGATTATCTTTTTAAATCTCTAAAACTAATTAATAAAGCAAGCTATTATACAAATGGAGTTCTTGAATAACTTAAATTAAGAAATAATTGTTTCACAACATAATCTGATACGAGCCCACGCTTCCGACGTGTAAACCTATACGGAAGATGAAGAATTAATTAAAATGCTTGTAATAACAATACGCATATAAATACATTGTTAAAACCCAACCCGTGCGTTTCGGATTATCATACGTGAGGAATTTACGGTTGGCAAATTATTGAACAATCGCGTATTGATTTAATACATCATCATCATCATTTCATACAAAGTACAACTACAAACAAATTAAAAAAAAGCGGAAATGACGGAGTAATGGCTATGGATTGCTGTTAATTACAATATTCCTACACATTTGTAAGAATGGTAATGAAAATAATGAGATCATTATACAGACAACGTACGCCAAAGCACGCATATAAACTGCCTCAGTGGCCGAACGGTTACCATGCCGGACTACCACCCAGACGTTCCAGGTTCGATTAAATATGAGAAATATTTGTATGGCCTACATTTACTTCTCTCGTGAGTTTGGGTGTAATTTGTGGTTGTCTATGTGTGTGTCCATGGCACCCGCGACCCGGGGTTTCCCTAGTGCGGGGCCATGTTGAGTGTGTGCGTTATTTATTATTATTGTTATTATTATTATATAACTATTTTAACCAAGTTTAATTTGCTAATTTAAATGTTTTAATTTTTTTAAATTGATATTCAATTATTTTTTGTGAAATTACTCCACTAGTTTGTTATAATTATTAATACAAAGATCGAACACTCAGAAAAAATTCCTTCGATTGGTATAGCGTCTGGCACGGTATGCTAGAAGACGTCGGTTCGAAACCGGCCGGATCGAAGGAATTTTTTCTGAGTGTTCGATCTTTGTATTAATAATTATAACAAACTAATGGAGTAATTTCACAAAAAATAATTGAATATCAATTCAATAAAAATTTAATTAATATAGTGAATAGCGACATCTCTCGCCAGGGCTGGTACCTGTAAAGATATCTAACTGGGTGATAAAACTTTCATAGATTTCTTATAGATGACGCTACGACTAAAAAGTCGTTGAAAAAACCAAATACAAAGATACGACGCAAACACTTAGAAAAATTCGTGAGGTCCGCTGGTTCGTTCCGTGGCTTAGTTGGTATAGCGTCTGGCACAGTATGCAAGAAGACGTCGGTTCGAATTCGACCGGATCGAAGGATTTTTTCTGAGTGTTCGATCTTTGTATTAATAATTACCCGCGACACAGGGTTTCCCTAGTGCGGGGCTATGTTGATTGTGAGCGTTATTATTATATATTATTATTATTATTATTATTATTATTATTATTATATAATTATAACAATTGAAATGTTGTTTTAACGTTCTATCATAATAATTAAGGCGGCGCAAATTACGTCCTACATTCCAACTAAAATACAAATACAAAATGCTTTCATGAGAGGCATTGAAAATATAGAATACAAAATACAGTCATTATCGCTAATTGAACACCACAAAAGTATTTGAATTATTACAGTAAAATATACTTACTGATATACACTTAATGAAAACAAAAAAAAAATCAAATACAAAACATATTTTTAGGTAGTAATTGAAATATAAAATACGTATTTCAATTGCAAGTAATTCAAATACTGCCAAACCCCGCGCATAATAAATAGTGCTACGGCTTCGTGTGTTTTGCGGTAAAAACCCGGGGACCCTAGAGGCAGTGAGTGTTGCCTACTTAGACAGAAGATTTAAAAGTCGCTAGTTGTCGTTATAACTTTATTTCTAATCTATAATGGAAAATGGTTTATTTCTTTGGCAAGAACTTTATGGCCATAACCGTAACACAGACAAAAGACCAATACATCTGATGGAAGACATCTACTCATACCATTGACTCAGCTAGATAAAGTCTAAATAAATAGGTGCGAAAAGTAACTGAATTTTGGCGCTAAATAGAAATAAAATATGGCTTTTATGTCAAAATGTCACTCAGTCCAGTGACAAAGTCGCAAAGTTAGCAACTTACTAACTAAGAAGCTTATAGATCGTCTTTTGAATACTCCTGAGAGCTGGGCAACTCCTTGCGCCAAAGAATAAGCCTAGCGATTCAAAGAGGAAACGTGACCAGCTTCCTGGGCAAGGTACCCAGCGTCTCGGGTCTCGATGAATCTACCTTTAATTAGATGAGAGGTAAAGCCAGGAAATTTAAATTTAATTGTTCTTTAAGTATATGAAGTTGAAGAAACAGCCAGCAAGCGGCCATCGTATAACCTATTTTTTGTTCCATTGAGGTTTTTGTTGTTAGCTAATGCAGCACAAATTACGATAGCAGACATTGTGGCTTCATAAAAAGATGTCTAAAGTCTATACCTTAGTTGGTAATGATGTTGACAGTCTATAAGAAAAATTGCATTAGTTGTGTTTTAATTCCAAAAAGTGACGATATCTTTGCTAAGAACTAAACTTTTTATATTACGATATTAAATCTCCTCAAGATGATAGAAAAGTGGACATGAAAATAAACTTATTAGCATAGGTCTTCAACTGCCCCCGCAGAGGTCCAGGTTTTAATACCAAACCGATAGATATTTGTATGGGCTTCACTTATTTCTTTCGTGAGTTTATGTGCAATTTATGGTCGTCTATGTGTGTGTCCAAAGCACCCGCGATACAGGTTTCCCCTAGGCTATGAATGTGTTGCGTTATTCGTTCTAAGTACCTACTAACAATTTTTTTTCGTGATATAAGTAATGGGACAAACAAGTCATATGCCTGCATGGTGGTAATCGACACACCTGTCCATAATATTGCAGTGCCACTGTCACCCTGATACATAAGTTGCGAAGTCCGACGTGCCTCTAATTTCACGAGCACCCTTACCCATCAACACCGGAACGCAGTAATCCTCACATTACTGCTTATTATTATTAGTTTTATGTTTTATCTTTTTTTATGATATCAAGTGACAAGACGTGTTCGTCTTGTCGTGGGCTTGGTGGTAAGCGACACTCCTAACTATAACAGTTGCAGTGGCACCTATTGGTTTTAATCGGCAGATCTGCGGGGCATAGTCAGTGCGCCCATCACCCTGAGACGTAAAGTTGCCAAGCCCGATGTGTCCTTAGTTTCTCGATTACTATGTGCCAGATATTCACATTATTTAGGTACCTGGTAGCGAAACTAGAGAATCCCCTGTAATATGAGTACCAGAGCAACTTAATTCACTCGGGGCACTACTCGGAACATCTAGATCAGAAAAGTTCATTTCCCAAATTGGTCCTACCGGGAAACGAACCCGGGACCTCCTCGTCTAACGCCCATAATGCAAACTGTTGGACCACCGAAATCGTCAAAAGCTAAACATTCGTATTATCAATATTACAATCAGGAAGTCAGATGGATTAGTATTTTAAGCTACAGATTTATATGTTACGAGTGTTACATGGAGTATTTACATAAATATGACACCAATTATGTACAGTCATTGTCAGACCTGTAATTGCGAAGCCTTAATTTGCGTACAAAGTTCCTTCAAATATTATATGTGTCGTCAATAATATACATGGTAATTGCTAATGAAATTATGAGCTATAATAAATAAGTACTATAGGACAAATCAACGGGTTTTTTCTTATATTTTAAGTAATCCATTCAGTTGTCGGGCTACTCAACAAAAAAGGTACTCATAAAAAACCGTTATCTTGGCTACTTTATAAAAAAGGTACGCTAGAAAAATGCCTTATATTATGTCAGTAGTTGTGATAATGACCGCGAAAGTGTGATAAATTACATAATAAACAAACTACAATGCAGAACAGAAAAAAATGTAAAAAAAATAGCGACTATGGTGTGAATAGAAGACCACTCATATTATAAAGCACTTTATTTTCCACTCAAAATCTTTATTTATTAATTTGTTAATATTTCTATACTATCTGCAAGACACTTCTCGCCTAACATTTGTAACCACAAGTCAGACACCTACTTTAAAATAATTTAAAAAGGTTCTATAATATCTTACACGTGTTGTATTATTCTACTTTTTTTTCTATACGACACTACCATTAAAACCTAAAATTTTTGTTTGTTTGTGTTTATAAATTTGCAATACAAATTTTAAAAGTTATTTTCTCAAAAGTAAGTAAAAATTAAAATTTTAAGAACTCTCGACGCAAAACAACGTAATCTAAAAGTCAATAAAGTTATCATCTGTACCCTAACATCTTGCCGAGACCAATATAATAAGATCAAACACGATAATTATACAGTAAGTAGTTGGGTAGTCTGCGCAGTATCCTTGTCACAACATCCGATCAAGGCTACCATTATTGTAATATCATCGAATTTTTATAAGATACAAAATTTCAAGTGGATCGGACAAGTGCTAGTAAAATAAATAATCATATTACGACTGATGAAGACCTTTAAGCAGCTGCTGAATAAAAGTTCATCAAACATAGTTGTATGGGCCACCTTACTCCACACATGGATTGTAGTGGTAGTACGCAGAGAAAAACTTCCAAGAAAATGGTAAAAATACTTATATTGATATAAAATACAGGTGTTATTGTGGCAAATCTCTCCTTGATGTAGTGTATCGGTGACAGTTGGTAACGTACTACGTAAAATAAAGTGTGAATCACCTGTTTAAGTTAAAGTGCGGTACGTGGCTAAAGTGGATCGGGGCGTGCGCAAAGTTATACCGAAGAATGTATGAGACCATACAATAGTTAAGAACCGTCCTGAATTAAATTAGCCTTCAAATAAAAATGGTCATTTTTGGACTAGTGTTCACTACCCAATTTCCGTGGCAATTTTTATTATTACTTAATTAATACGAGTGTTGTATTGTGAAATAATATTTCATAATTACACGATACTTGAAAATTTAAATAATAAAAATTTCCACGGAAATTAGATAGTGAACACTAGTCCGAGAATGACCTAAAAATCGTTTTGAGATCAGTCTATGCAGAGACAAAACTTTCAAACTGCTAAGAGGGAACAGCTTTTAGACCTGGAGTTAAAATATCAGTGGCCAAGTTGTTATAAAAAGTTTTATTGAGGATGCCTGTTATTGATTCTGCAACTTAGTAGTAACTATTAAACGGGAGTGTCTTGTTTTACCGCATTAGCTGTCAACCTTCTGCATGTGCTTACGTTCTTCAAATATCCACCCAGCAAATTCGGGAGATGGCTAAGCTTCCTGGAGGAGCTTGTGTGGCATACCACACGCAAAAGAGGCACCTGAACGTCTAGTATCAGTTTGCAGTATCATTTAACTTTCTCTAACTAGTTACACACTCTGACATATAATGACAGTGCTCTCCATAAGTTCACGATAACCGATTTGGCATTTATCTGAAGTAGGTCTAGGAACATTATAGCATTTATAACTTCACTCGTTGCTAAACGTGTAACACGTTACATCGTTTATATCTTCGAGAAGGTACCTAACAATTATAAGAACTGTAACAGAACAGATTTGCTACAACATATAATTAACGTCTTCTTGTTAATGTCAAACGGTGAGGCTATTGTCTGGGTCATGTTTAATTTACTTCCTGATGTTTATAATCTTAATTATTTATATTGCAGTTCCGATTGTGTGTCCAGGTAGTACTTACTAAAATCTTTCATAGGTTTCAAAGTAATCAGGAGAGGATTGCAGGGTTATTGCGTCAACCAACACGTCTGCGTCGGATATTCAAGGGATCCGTTAATTTTGGAGGAGTAAGATTTTAGTTACAGTGGAGTCTTTTGCGCCATAACATGGGATTCTTTAAAAAGCGAGTCAACAGGGCTCTTATTAGCTGGCAGCTCCTATGATACTCCAAATATCCATTGGCAACGATGACATCGCATGATGACATGTGCTCGTTAGCCTCATAGTTTACATAAAAAGAAGTAGTGTTTTATAAAGTGATTTAGTGATTTTAAGGGATGGAACGCCATGTGAATTCGTTGCTTTAACGGTTAGCACCATGGCACTTAGGATATTAGAGGAGCACCCGGGTTCAATTGTATGTAATTATCTGTGGTTTTATCTGTCAAAGTGTGTAATCGCGAGTTGCTCTCGGAAATATACCTTTAATTATCATTACATAATATAAAGTTTCTCTCCGTAACATTGTGTTTTTATCAAGACAAGCCCTGACTACAGTCCACTTATAAAAGAATACAACACACGAGACCTATAAAGGGCCCGCAGTTCGTTTGAAAAAAAAAACAAATATACGCAATTTAGATCCGAAAAAATTGTTCAATTTCCTATATTCTAAAATGGTTCAGGTATGGGTGTTATGGAGAAAGCCCCGGAAGTTATATTCGTTACTATGACCAGAGTTGGTACTAGGTTATTTGTGGCTGGCATGTTAGTATTTAGTTTAAAATTCATGGAGTTCTTCGTATCTTTTATGGTGATCCAATTTCTGACCGCAGTGGCAGTGACCTTTATACAACACACCAATGGAATGCGGAAGTGGAACCTTGCACTAACATCACAATGTGGTTCATCATATTCAATCGTGACTTCAGATAGATATAATCTTTCTTGTTTATTAAACACCTTGTTGGTTTTAAATACATTTAGTTCTAAGTGTTTTTGATACGTGTTTTGAATTGATTTATTGCCACGAACAGAAAGTGTGTTATGAGATCTTCAATATTAAAATGTTAGCTATTACGTAGGTCTTTGTGGTCATCGTCAGCTCGAATAATATGTCAAAATAATGTGAAGCCATACAGTCGGTAAATATCTTTTTTGTACTGTTGCAGTTTAAAGAATACGTACTAAACAAAATATGTTAATATGTGTTCTCGGTTGTACGCCCATTACCCGTGTCAAGGTGTCGGTTGAATTAGATGACAACGTATAATTATAGAAATATTGATTATTATGAAATGTCTGTTGCTTGATATAGCTACGCGTATCATAGAAGACTAGATTTCATCATCACCCTGATATAGGGGCAGTTTAACTCATTTATTCGTAAGAAAATTTTATTTGAAACGAAGTATAAACTATAAACAGAGTATAGTACTGGCCAATCATAGGAAGATGTGATATTAAATCTATCTAACTCCTTTCAAGCTCCAACTGACAACCAGCGCTGAGACTCTGCCCACTCTGCGCAGTATTAAGCTGAGCTGGCTAAACTTTTCGGCTATTAAGGTGAGAATTGAAATCTCGCCGGCCTATTTCTACCAAAACTTGGCATCAATAGCCCCGTCGCGATCTCGAACGTCTAGCTTTGTGTTTGTGGATAGTGAAGATTCAGTGCTGTTCAGTTCATCTAGCGATAAATATGCGGCTGAAGTAACATGTCCCGTAAATTACAATCATTAAATATGTTAACGGATGAAGATCCAAATGAAATCATCTTTTTTTCAAATCTCAAATCGTACGTAGCTACCCCACAATCAATCGCGATTAATATTAATAGCCATCGCGAGCTCGCACGCGGTCGTGCGGAGCTCACGCAAAAAATCATGTTTTCGTTGCAGATTATAATACTCTATGCAGACAGCAATACAGTTCAATATTACATGAACAAATATTTCAACTCTCGTCTCGCCCATCCTCGTCAATCCAGACCATCTCCACAGCAGATGGGCTAGGAAAGAATTGAAATTTTGTCATACAAACTTCAATCCTCGTCTCGCCTGGCCGGTGGAAAACCACCTTTATTGTGCGTTTTTTAATTGATTTTCGTTTGTTTTTTATTCATTTAAATTACATATGTCATGAGTTAAAGTACTCGTCTATCTAATGTGTTGTTTATTTTTTATACAGCGACCATTCTAGAATGCCTTTCAAATTGACACTACAATGTTCGTGTTGTGGTGAAGCTTTTTATTTTACAACAAACTGGTTTGGACAATATTTATAAAACAAATTTGCGTTATTACAATCACACAACATCATTTCCGCGTTGACATATTCATATTTTGTGTTAGCAATTCCTTGGAATGTGATACAGATTTCAATATACATGTATGTTGTTAATATTATGTGGTCTGCCTTGAAACCTTAATTTTTTCACTTATTTAAAATGTTAAATGTGAACATGTTAAGCTAATAAGGTGTTCCGTATTTCGTAACAGTTCTTCTATTCAGAGTATTAGCAGAATTTATTTATAGATTCTCAAAATAGCTCTCTAATAAAATTAACTATCAGACAGGAAGATTGTTTTAAGCGGCAAAATCTGCTACCTTCATGTTTTTATTATTATTTTTTATAACATGTCAGACTACCACACCGAATACCAGGTCTCAAACTAGTGTGCCACAGACTGCCTGAGCAACGGATATCACTGCCGAAAATTACCCAGAATACCGTGACTAAATTTTGAAAACTTCATTTTTCTAATATTATGTCAATTAGAATTTCATAAACCATATCTTAAAGTCGCTATTTTTAGTTCTGAATCAAAATTCTATTGTCTATGATACTCACCACTGAGCTTAAAAATTTCATTACAGAACTGTAATGAGTTTCAAAATAAAGAACGTCGTATATTTGCTAAAAATATCAATTATGACGCTATACAACCTCCTGATTGGTTAAATTGGCCTAAAAGTCTTGCAACAGTTGCTTTCGTCTAAATATGAAGAGGCTGTATGGTGGAACCTTTGCTTACCCTGTTAAATGGGTCAATTTTTTTTTATTTATTAAGGCTTTGGCAAAGCCATCAGCCTAAACATGAAGTAAGTTTAATTATGTTTCTGTAAATATGGCCGCCACAAAGAGGATAGGCAATTTGAGGCGGCGTGCTTGGATTGACTCGGGATTCCTTAAAACGGGCCGATACGGGTATTTCAGATTGAGATTCGTATAATTTCGCATTTTAATCATCGATTAAGGCACTAGAGCACTATCCTATTCCACTTTAAACTAGATTTTACAAAATAATTGAAAGTCAAAATAAAAACGACACTTTTCCCTCCAAAAGGTCCAGAGCGAATCTAAATGGGTCAAAATTTATTAAAAAAATATGCTTTTGTTGTCATGAATTGTTATCAAATTAAACATTAAATATTGGTTGTGTTTCATTATTTTATTTACTCGTAGAAAAAGTATTGTATGCAATCTTTACATAATTAAATCTTGTGGCCTAAACACGGTACTCGGCTTTATTAACCCTCATTAAGCAACGGTTGCATAAAATACTATTTGTGAATAAAGTTTTTGTTTCGCAGTAGTTTTAACCTTCGTAAATGGCAAATATTGAATATAGATAATGACGCTTATCAAGACAGAAGTCGACGATTTGAATCTCTGTAACGGCATTTACCTATGATTTTAATTTCTAAGTTACTTACATTTGTATATGTTTGGTAAATACTTAATATCTCTGGCTAAGGCTAAATGAAAACATCGTTATGAAACCTGTGTATGTAAATGTGTAAATGTTGTATGTGTTACATTTAATTTAATTTATTTATTGTATGATTGTGTTAGTATGTGAATTATAATTTTTTATTGTGGTGTTATATTTTTATGCCATGTAATTAGTAATTACCATAGTCCTCAAATGCTGAATCATGGACCTTTTTGACATGCTTTTTTTGCTTATTTGTTGTAACTTTTTTTTCTATTATTATTCTTTTTCTTATTTTTTTCTATAGTATTTTTTTGTATTTATGAACGAATTAATTATTATTTTATAATTTTTGTATTTTATAATGCATTTTCCATGTCAAGTGAATACGATTTTATTTTATTTTAAACTCTGAAAAACGTAGAAACTCCACAATAGAATCCTCCCCTTAGGCACGGGTGCTCAAGGTCGATAATTATGATGATAAACATTTACTTTTCTGAGGATTTCTTTACCAAAACGCTTGCCCTTTAATGAACGTGTGGTGTGTAACTTAATGTTTAGTTTTGTTTTTGTATTAACATTACTATTCCTATTGTTCTTTTATGAATGTACTGTATGGCTAGGTACAATATGACGGCACTGTAAGAATATTCCTTTAAACATATCTCTCAGTTTGTAAATTGTCCTAACAACACGGTTCTGCAGAACAAAATATTTAATTATAGATTACCCAATTCAAAATGCCAAATATCATCAATGACAATATAAACATAATGTCAAGATTATTAAACTCATATTTTAGAGTTAATTAGAAACTAAATTCGTTTAGTTCTTCACAATTTAGCATTAATGACGATTTAAAAATTTGATTATACAATTCAGTTGATCTTGAAGTTGGTAGTTTAGATGCAGGTGCATCTTACAAGGCAAACAAGTAACGTATAAATGTTTTCACTTGTTGTTACGGAAATCCGATGACATTATGGTGATTTGCTTTTACGAACAATATGGATAAAGTTTCGTGCATCTGATTTCTGTTATTGATGGTAAGTTTTCACACGGCTACGAGACGTGGATAGTGAGTGTAAAATTGACTGACGAACCCACTTCAGTGGCAGTAGGGCAAGAAAGAACGAATTCTTCCAGGGAAGTACTGCCACAATAACTATTTCTAACGTCAAGTAACCAATTTTTACCTTGCTCGGTATGGAAATCTGCTGTGATTTGAATCCAAGGAGCTACATCGAATCTGTGATCAAAACAGCCTCACGGAAACTCGGAGTCCTGAACAAGGTGCGACGTTTTTTCACGCCGGACCAGTTATGCCTGCTGTACAAAATACAGGTCCGGTCTTGCGTTGAGTATTGTTCGCACTTGTGGGACGGCTCCGCCAAGTACCTACTCGATGCCTTGTATAAATTACAGCGTCGTGCTACTCGAATTATAGGCGACGAAGAGGTCTCATCACGCCTTGAACCTCTGCAACTGCGTAGAGATGTTGCATCGCTTAGCGCCTTTTACCGCATGTACCATGGTGAGTGCTCTAAAGAGCTGTTCAACCTCATCCCCCCTTCCCCGTTCCTGCTCAGAAGCACGCGTGCTTGCCTTCGTAGTCACCGTTTCACTACCTGCCGAATTCCATCGCGTACTAAAAGGTTCGGTGGCTCCTTTCTCTGCCGCACGGTTGACAAATTGAACTCCCTTCCGGCACATGTCTTCCCTCCCTCTTATGATATGGGGTCCTTCAAACGAGGCGTGAAGAGGCATATTGTAGGCAGGCAGGGTGGAGGTGGCTAGTGCAGTGAGGATTTCATCGCTGCACTAGGTTCCTTCGCGTTTGGATACCACTTTCCACTTAACATCAGGTGGAGTGGAGTCATTTGCCTGTCATGTATTAAAAAAAAAAAAAAAGAAAAAAAAAGACATACCTTACGATTGTGATGAAAACCACTACTTACAGTAAGTACAACATTGAAGATGAAATTATGAATCAAACTGGAAATAACTAGTTCGTGCTGGAAAATGGAAAATACTATCACCATACCTATTTCTGTGAGTTATTTAATATTACTTCTTCATCATGAAGATTTGTGCTTGTCGCAAAATTTCAATGGTTAACTTAGCCAGGCCACGAAAGATCAAGGTTGAACAAATTAAAATCAATGAAAACGACAATTAAAATGTGTGTGATTCGGAGCGATGATTGTAATACAGGTTCATTAATGTGTTTTTATATCGATCTACATTCGGTATTATTTTGATTCAAGTTTTTATAAGTATAAATAAACAATAATTTGAATTGCGTGAGTATGTTATTAACAGTAAAAATTGGTCTTTTATGACTTTGATATTGTTTTTTTTTAGTTTTATGCAGGCATTGACTTACAAATAAATGGACGACGGGTCTAATACAAAAACGACGAAAAAAATATCCCAAGTCAACCTATTTAAACGTAGTGACATGTAAAGGAATATGAAAAAGCTAAAACGTTGAATTTAAATTGTAATGTCATCGCAGTACTGTCTAATTTTGCTTGCTTCGCTGTCAGTCGAACAAACGAAGACTAAAGCGTGAATGACGCTCTGTATACGATTTTAACGCCCTATAAGTTCGAACACTTTTTAGCGCGGACCCGACGTCCATATAATTGTAAGTCAATGTATGCAGGTAATAAACTTGTCAACATTCTTTACAGATCCGTCTAAACTTATTTATTGATTTGATTTTATTACGCCGCCGCCTATGGAGAGCGGAGTGCTATAAAGAAAAAAAAAATTTCAGAATCACTAATACCTTATGGAAACGGGCTGGCCATATTCAAAGGTTCACTGACAGAAAGTGGTCACAGACTATCACTAAATCATATCCACTAAAGCAAAGAAGGCGAGGCAGGCCATCAAAGAGGTAGAGCGATGAAATCGCAGGAATAATAGGAAACAGGAGTGTCCAAGACTCGCACAAAACAATCTTTTTTTTTATATAACATCAAGTGACGGAACGACCAAGTCGTGCGCCTGATGGTAAGCTGCACGCCTGTCCATAACAGTTGCAGTGCCACTCAAGAGCTTTAAATCGCAAAGATTTGAGGGGCACTGCCACAGCGCCCGTCACCCTGAGACATAAGTTGACAAGTCCCTTGTGCCTGTAATTTCACCAGCACCCTTACCCTTTAAAACCGGAACACAGTAATGCTGACATTACTGCTTGGCGGCGGAAATAGGTAAGATGAGAATACCCTGGACGAACTCTTTCACAAGGAGCTCTACTGTTACATAAAG